AAAAAAAATAGCCAGGCATTGTAGCAGGCGCCTGTAGTCCCAGCTACTTGAGAGACTGAGGCAAGAGAATAAATTAAGCCCAAGAGTTAGAGGTTGCTGTGAGCTGTAAAAACATAGGACTCTACTGAGGGCAACATAATGAGACTCTGTCTCAAAAAAAAAAAAAAAAGTATATAGATTACCTAAAATGTTCTTTTGTGTGCACACACAGGTACTTAGGTTAATTAAAAAAATTTTTTTAGAGATGGAGTCTCACTATGTCGCCCAAGTTGGTCTTAAACTGTTAGCCTCAATTGAGGCTCCTGTCTAAGTCTCCCAAAGTGCTGGGATTACAGGTGTAAGTCAACACCCTGGCAATTTAAAAAAAATCATCAATTATTAATAACAGGTATCTTATAAGAGTTAGTGGTTTGTTAGAACCACTTCACTTTAGAAAATGTGCATCATCCCACCTTCTTTAGGAAGCTATCTCTGATCAGGTAGGCACCTGGGGAGCACTTCACCTACATTAACGGATGAGAGGACGGATGAATGCACCTGGAGCATGGATAGAGATCCATCCTGACCCACCCCAGCACCCTTAGCCTACCTTCTTACACTCTCTGCACCCCAAAACCCCAGCAGAAAGCAAGTCTGCCAAGAGCTCTAGGGAAGGAAGCAGGAGGGAGGGCACACGTAGCAAGGGGACAGCAGATCTAGTTACAACAGTATTGTCCATTCTCATCTCTGTCCCTTTGGAGCCACTAGTGAGAACTCCATGGCTCTGCAGGTGTCACACTTTAGGATTTTGCTCAACCCCGTTGGAAGCAGAGAATAAAATGGCAAGAAAAGAGAGCATTGAAGTTGCTGTGGTCTCCATTCCCTCACCCCCATTCTATAGCTTTCTGGAATCACCCCCAGGACTCCAGGACATGACCTAGCCTGAGGGTGAACTTCAGGGCTGTCCCATGATGGCAGAAGGTTAATCCCATTACTATACCTATGGGTGGGGCCAGCTGTGGCCTGGTGGAGGCTGCCAGGGTGCTGAGGAGTGAGAGGGGCTGCGGCCCAGAGGGGTTCTCTCTTTCCCACTCTCCGTACATGAACGAATCCCTCCAACGGAGGTCGCGGGTACAAGGGATGCTGTCTTCCTCTTTGTAGGGAGTATCTTTCTCTAGATCAAGAAAAGGAAGTATTTAGTTGTACTCTGGTTCACAAAGCACTTACAGATCACAGCCAACATTTGTGTGGCTCCAATTACATGCATTCATGCTCCTTCAATCCTCACCACCATTATGTGAGGTCAGCACAGCCATAATCCCCATTTCAGGGATGAGGAATTTGAGGCCTCAAGAAGGTAAGTAAGTAACTTACTGATGGTCACATAATGAGGAGGGAGAGTCAGAATTCAAAGCCAGGCAGAGCCTATGAACTTACCAGTGCATCACATGAGCAACCCAACACCAGGAAAAGGAGACACCAGCATGGCTGGGACAGGTTAACTGAGTGAATTTCCCCAGGAGGTAAACCTAATGGAACTGGTAGTGGCCTCGAACCCAGAAGGCCTTAAATCAGAGCCTGTTCTTTCCCACTTGGCCCTGGCTTTTAATGGGTGGCCCATAGCCCAGCAGCTTTGGCATCACCTGGGAGCATGTTAGAAATGCACAGCCTTACGCCCACCCAGACCTAAGGAATTAGAATCTGCATGGTAACAAGATCCACAGGGGCTGGTTTGCACATTAGAGCAGGTGTCCTCAAACTACGGCCTGCGGGCCACATGTAGCCTGCCTAGGACATTTATCCAGCCGCCGGGTGTTTTTGCCACTGCTGCCTGTCCTGCTCAGCAGCCGACTTGTCGCGGGACTCACAGTCTGGCTCTCCAATGGTCTGAGGGACAGTGACTTGGCCCCCTGTTTAAAAAGTCTGAGGACCCTTGCATTAGAGTTTGGGAAGCACTGTAGTAATAGGCCACTCTACCTGCCGCTGGGGAGTCAAATCCACAGAGGTAAGTTTTGGGACTCCGGTTTTTCCAGCTGTGTAGTTCTCTCTATTCTTTCATCCAAAAGTTTCAAGAGGTGTAACTTTCCTTCTAAACTGAAAGGACATTGCTGCCTGGCTCAGTGAGAAAAGAGAGGCCAGATGCCATCCCAAGATGGTGAATTGAAATCAGCCTGGGAACATCTTGGATGGCTCCCATGATGCCAGATAGTCTGTGACCCTGAAATTCAAGCTCTTCTCTCAGGTGCCAGAAATAAGTTTGAAATATTCTTTTCCGTTTTTCTTAACCCTATCTTCAGAGGGTACGTTTTTGAGTGTGTGTGTTCGTGTGTGTTTGAATGTATGTGTGAAAGCAGAAATGAATCACCACGGGGTCATCAGCTGCATACCTGAGAAAGCATTCCTGGACTCGGAGAAAAAGGCGGGCAGCTGCAGTTCTGCTCACCAGTGCTGCTGAGCCTCCAGACTGAATGTGGCCAAATGTGGTCTGCAGAT